GATTATCAGTGATCTTGAGCATATTTTCTAATGTTTACTAACCATTGGAGTTGTTTTTTGCAGAAGTTAGGAGTGTGCTAAAGGTTCAAACATTATAGCTACATAACATCTCCTGAAAAAAATACCCAGGGAAAGGAGTATGTAAAACATCAAATACTTTGGTAGCGTGTGCGTGTGTGTGTATGTGTGCATTCACAATATTATTGCTCAAAATAAAGGGTCTATATTATCTAGTTAATAATGGTAGAATTTCATCAGATTTTGTATCATTTAAAGATTATATAACTTATTTGCTAAACACCAGTATTTAAACTTATATGATGAACTATATAAACAAGTTTGGAGAAAAAGAACTGAGTCCGTATTCACATTCTAGAATAGCCTTTTTAGCAAATGAACATAATGATACTAACCACCCTCATTTTCACAGTTTCTATACTTCATAATTTGTTAATTTCTTATTAAAAATTTTTTACAACAGCATTTTGAGACGAGAAAAGTAGATTGTGTTATTTCAGTTCTATAGGTAAGGGAATTGAGGCCTGAGAAGAGCATTTTTTGTTGTCTTTAAATATTAATTGAATATGTGTCATTTGGTGACAGGATCACATTTCATATGGTTGTACCATAACTCCTTATAACTGACTGGACCATAGTTTTCAAAGCTGCTTGTTCCTGAGTGTGATGTTCCTCCTTCCTTCTTTCCTTCCTTTCTTTCCCTTTTCTTTTTCTCTCTGTGCTATTACATATAAAATCACAATAAATACCCTAGCAAGTACATTTTTGTCAGCACCCCTAATCACCTCCTTACATTTGACACCCAAATTTGAAATATTGAGTCAAGTATTACAAACTTTTCAAGGCTCCTGACCAAATCACTAGTTTTCAAGGTCAACCATTTCAGAAGCGTTCTATTTTTATATAGACAACTAGAGGCCCAGTGCATGATTAAATCGTGAGTGTGTAGGGTCCCCTAGGTCTAGCCTGCCATCAGGGCCATGTCCGCCACCCTGTGACACCTTGCACACTCCGTGGACGCTGCCAGCGCCCCACGATGTTCCACCAATGCTGCCGGTGCCCTGGGGGTGGGGGGAGGGCCTGAGAGATGCTCCATGCACCTCCTGGTGACCAGTCATTTTGGGCGTTATGGCGTTACGGCCACAGGGCTTTTATAATATAAAAAATCAATCCCAGGAAGGAGTGTCAGTGTTAATTTATTTTATATTCTCAATGTCTTTTCAGTCTTTTCTCCATCAGGTTCCATATCTCATGTATCTGTGTTCTTCGCTTGTGGTGTAATAATTCTCTTTTCCCTGACATTCAAAATGACTTCAGAGATAGTTCACCAATGGCTACAACCTGCTTACTTGAACATAATACAAATAATCAGTTATTCTTCCCTCTGTCCTGGCCTTGGACAAGATGACGCTCAGCTTCCTTGATCTTGAATGAAATTGCAAGCAGGACTACACACCAAAAACTCTTTCTCCCCAAGTCAACTAGGTAATTTAAGTACCTATGCTAAATATCCACCTAGGATGTGAATGAGAATTCCACATGTTCAGAGATATATAGCCAGTCTACTTAGTGTGGATTTCATAATGGGGTGAAAGTCTGATGCTAATGTGTGAGATAGACATCATCTCATCCAAAAATGTGTCTTTTTACTCAGGCCGCAGGAGATTGCAATAGGTTCAGGAGTATCTGCCAAATCCATACCTTTGCTTATACCTCTACCCTTGCTTATTCCTAAGCCTCATATTTCTAAGCCTTGTCCCTGGTCCAGAAATAACGGTTTTGTCATATGTCAGTCATGTTCATGGACTTTTTAGATTTCAGATTATAAATATTACTGTGGGTTTTTTTTTAGGTACCTGGTAGAAGAACTCAAGAAAAGAGAAGGATTCAAGTTGCTGATGGAAGTAAGTACGGAACTGTGCCTATGATTTTGTCCCTCAGCAGTGATGAAGGTGGTAATTTTCCAATCTATTATATTTCATTGGTTTTTGTGTTGCAGACTTAGAAACAAGTCATTAGCTTAATTCAGAGAGTCCATTATGTTAATTTACTCTATTAGTAAGTGTTTTTCCTTTGTTGGATTCAGAGAACACACTTGCCTTTACATATTGAAAATTAAAGTGCTCAATAATAATTACCAAGGATAATACTGAATAAATTATGTCCTCTATCCTGATATATAAATTGCATAATGATTGTACGGCAAATATTCAGCTGTACTGTAGTGGTGCCTGCATGTGAAAAATCAATTAAGTGAATGTACAATAATGCTTATAGATTTCTCTTTTCATAAAGTAATGAGAGCATATTAGCTTTGGAGCAATGGAAAAATAAGTCATTTTGTTGTTGGATTCTTTGCTAGACAATAAGAAGTAGGTGGTTACAAAGATAGAGAAATTTTCCCCCACAAATTTATGATTAGAAAATATGAGGAATATTATTTAATTCTGATTTTTTAAGAAATATAAAATGTGAGGTTGTCTTAGATCTTCTTATAAGTAGCATATGCTCAATAGCAATTTTTTAAAATATATTTTTTATTTATTTCAGAGAGGAAGGGAGGAGAGAGAGTTAGAAACATCGATAATGAGAGAAAATCATTGATCAGTTGCCTCCTGCATGTCCCCTCTGGGGATCGAGGCCACAACCCAAGCATGTGCCCTGACCAGGAATAGAACTGTGATCTCCTAGTTCATAGGTCAACACTCAACTACTGAGCAACACCAGCCAGGCTCAATATCAGTTTTAACATAATATAAAAATTTCTCTTTTCATAAAATAATGAAAGCATCTTAGCTTTGGAGCAATGGGAAAACAAATCATCTAGATATTGCAACCTATTTTGTATATTAGCAGTCTAGCTATTTTTTTTATATTCATTTATTTAGAAGATTTATTGAACAATTTCTGTGTGCCAGGCCCAGTTCTAGGCACTGGAGATATAAGACAGGGAGGTTGCCTGCTTTCATGGTTCTTACATTCAAATAAAAAGTGATAGGCAATAAATAAGCCAATTAATACATAGGAAATATCAGATAGTGAGAAATCTTAGGAAAACAAATGAATTCATCTATATATATAAAAGCCTAAGCCACTGAATGACTAGTCCACCAGTCATTATGATGTACACTGACCACCAGAGGACAGATGCTAAATGCACAGGATCGGGCTCCCTTCTTCTAGAGCGGGCCTGCGGGGATCGGGCCAAAACCAGCTCTCCGACATCCCCTGAGGGGTCCCGGGTTGCAAGAGGGTGCTGGCCAGGCCGAGGGACCCCACCAGTGCATGAACCCATGCACTGGGCCTCTAGTAAGAGATAATCTAGTATACAACTAAATAATTAGACAGTTACAGATGTGATAAGTGAAAAGTTAAAGTTGATGATGTGCAGCAGGCTAAATAGGCATCTCAGACAGTAATTAAAGAAAAATTGAATTTATTTAAAGAAAAGGGAATGGGAAACAGGAATATCCACAGGGAAGAGCTACACAGCACTGAGCCAAAGGGTATTGGGGTCCATGATGGCAGCAAAAATGTACTTAGGACAGTGAAACAAGGAAGGTCATAAAAGAAGCAACAGGAAGGCCTTGAAGACAGGTTCAGGGGGTTGGCCTGGTATGAGATGCCACTGCCCATCCCTCCCCTAGTTGCAAATTTCATGAGGTGCCTTAGAGGGAAGAAGAAGGAAGGGAAAGGCATGGCTGTGCTCCCTGCAGGAGAGCACATTCCGGGTCCTTCATCCTGAGCATATTCATCTCTCTTGCAGGTGGAAAGCTTAGGGGAGGTCTCAGAGGCGGGGCTCAATAGACTGTTCATCAGCTTTCCAAGTGTGCTCTTTTAGGGTCGTGGTCTCCACTGATTGGTCAGTGCCAGTGCAAAGGGATCATTAGTCAATGCAGCTGGTCCTGAGGCAGCTATTGTGTCAGTTGTCTGGTTTTGCTGATTTTCTGGGCCTAGATGGTATCTTTAGGGAGGAAAAGGTCAGGGGAACTAAACCACCTGACCAGCGATATGAAAGATCTGGGGTCCAAACTGCATGACCAGTGATATGCAAGGGGAGGATAGGTTATCCTGGGGGCAAGGTTCTTGTGTTCCCGAAGTCAGAGAAAAGGGGGCCTTGGAGATGGGTTCGGGGGGTGGAGGGGTTGGTTAGCCTGGGATGAGCTGCTGCTGCCCATTGTTCCCCTGGTTGCAAGTCTCATGGAGTCCCTTAGAAGTTGAGGGATACTTGCCTGAGTGGGAATGTAAGGGGGAAGGGAATGGCACGAGCATGATCCTTGGAGGGAGAGTTCACGCTGGGCCCCTTGTCCTGAGCATATCTCTCTCTTGCAAGTGGAAATCTTAGGGGAGATGTCAGGGGAGGGTCTTAATAGAATAGTCATCAGCTTTCCAAGTGTGCTCTTTTAGGGTCGTGGTCTCCACTGATTGGTCAGTGCCAGTGCAAAGGGATCATTAGTCAATGCAGCTGGTCCTGAGGCAGCTATTGTGTCAGTTGTCTGGTTTTGCTGATTTTCTGGGCCTAGATGGTATCTTTAGGGAGGAAAAGGTCAGGGGAACTAAACCACCTGACCAGCGATATGAAAGATCTGGGGTCCAAACTGCATGACCAGTGATATGCAAGGGGAGGATAGGTTATCCTGGGTGGAAGGTTCTTGTGTTCCCAGTTTGCCCCTTGCTAGGCATCCAGGGCTTTCTGTCTTGGTGAGTTTCTGTACCAGGCCAATTGTTCTTACTCTGCTCAGGTCTGTCTAACAATAAGTATTATAATGGAAATAAGTAGGATGAAATGCTAAAACAAGAAATTAGTGGGGGGTGGCTTCTTAGGTGTGGGTTGTCCAGGTATGGTCTTCTGAGGTTATCTTTGAGCTGAGACCTGAATAATGGTAAACGGCATGCCTTGCTGTTGTCTGAAGGGAAGGCATTCTAGGCAGAATCAATAAAGAGTGGCAAAGGCTTAAAGCTGAAAAGAGTTCTGTGTGTTTGAGGAGCCAAAAGAAGGAATATTAAGCAAGGGGTGCAAGTTGCAGTGTTTGATGAAGTTGGAGAGGTGGATGGGGAGATCAGTTGGAATCAGGTAGGTCATGGTAAGATCTTTGGCTTTTATTCCAAATGTAATCATTGGAGAAGTTTTAAGGAGACAGGAGCCTAACATCCATTTTACAAGATCATGCAGGATGTCTTGGGAAGAGAGGAATGGGGAGAGGGTTGGGTGAAGACAGGATGAGAAAAGAATGAGACAAATCGGAGACTGTTACAGTAGTCCAGGTCTTCAGACACGTTTTGGAAAACCTGCTTCAGAGAATTCTGACTGTGGCTTCCACCACTATCCACAAAGGAGTTCAAATTTCCTGAAAAGTAGTGACTTGCAAAGATAGCAAAAGAACCCATATTTAAATGACTTTCTGGTAACACTTCAAAGAAGCAAGAAGACAAGTTTCAAATGTAAGGCATTCTATAGGACAGCTGACCTGATTTCTTTAACAGGTCAGTGGCATGAAGAAAAATAAGGAGAAAGTGGTGTTAATCACTTTAGGTTCAAAGAGATAGAAGAGGCATAGCAACTAAATGCAAATTATGAAGCTTTTAGAATCCCAGTTTGAACAAGCCAATTGTAAAAGTACATTTTGAAACAGTTGGGGGAATTTCTAACATGAACTGATTATTGGATAATACCAGGGAATTATCAGTAATTTTATTAAGCATGATGATGGCATTATGATGCTGTAAGAAAATGTCTGTAACTTTTAGAGATGTGTACTTACACTTGGAGGGGTGAAACAACAACTATACAATTGGCTGTGAGTTTGAGTCGCTTTTATTTCCTAGAGTTTGAGCTGCCATCTTTATTTTCTTGAGGTCTAGTTACATCTTTATTTTCTCAGGTTTGAATTGCCTTCTTCATTTGTCTGGCTTTGGTAGCTGCAGAGCTTATGGAAAGTGCTTTATACCTCAGAACTGCACCGTCTTTTGATAGAGCTAATAAAAAAGTCATGAGAAAAAAAAAGATGAAGCGACTTAAAAGTTGTTTATATATTCTTCCTAAAGGCTTAAAAATCGCAGGAGGAACCTTTTATCACCATCTTTAGGGATCTGCAAACAGTCACATTCTTGTAATGAAAGTTGAGGTGGGTTTTCATTATTAGGAAGCCTTCTGCCCTGGATATTTTATCTGTGGGAGCCAGATGGCCCCCAAGCAGTGGAGCTGGCTTTCTCAATGGTTCTCCAGAGTTCCTACTTAGAAGGATTGTTGTATGTGATCTGCATTTGCCTCTTCTCTGTGTATTCCCATTTAGAGTAATGACGTAAATTTAGACCTTGAGTTTTGCCTAAGTGTCAAGCTGCTTAGCCTGTTAACAAATGCATTCATTGGATGGATTAAATATAGCCCTAATACATACTTAAGGGAAGAAATGCAAAGATCCATTTGGAGCTTAGGTCTGTGAACTATAATTCTTTCCATTTAGGAAAAGTCAGAGTCTATAATTATATATACAGTAGTCCCTGCTTATCCATGGGGCATACGGCCCAAAACCCCATTGGAAGCCTGAAACCAGGGATAGTACCAAACCCTTGAATATACTATGTTTTTCCTATACATATCTATGACAAAGTTTAATTTATCAATTAGTAAGAGATTGACAGCAATAACTAATAATAAAATAGGATAACTGTAACAATATGCTATAATAAAAGTTATGTGAATGTGCTCTCTCTCTTCAAACTAGCACAGTTTTCTTTTTCTTTCACAATTTCATGGAGAGAAGATAAGTTCTTAGCATAGATTTCAGCAACCTTAACATAGAATGTTTTTCTTTCTTTATTAGGTTGGGGAACTTTCACCTTTTCATTTCAGGGAAGCACGTTACTGCTTCTCTTTGGCATATCTGAATTGCCATCATCACTACTCGTATTTTTAAGTAAAATAAGGGTTACTTGAACACTATCACGGTGATACCAGGACAGTAGATCTGATAACTGAGATGGCTACTGAGTGACTAATGGGCCAGTGGTGTGCATATAGTGTTGATTCATTGGACAAAGGAATGATTCCTGTCCCAGGCAAGGCTAGGCATATGTACATCGGGTGATGATGGTTGTAACTAGGTTGAGTTATAAGAAGAACTTCAAACTTTGTTTATTCTTGATGGTGTATGCATCCTTTCCTAGAGGGAAGGACCCTCTAGGTGCACCCAACTGAGAAGGAAATTTCCCAGTAGGATGTTATCAGAAGTAAGGCAAAACGGATGTCTGCTCTCGCAGAGTCTGATTTGCTGTTAACATAATACACACATAATAACTCTTAAAGAAACTGGTTAAGACTTTAATTGCATCTAAGATTAATCTTAGGTTAACAACTTTCAAATTTCCTTAATCCTCAGCCTGAATATGCCAATATTTGCTTTTGGTACATTCCACCGAGCCTCAGAGAGATGAAAGAAGGACCTGAGTTCTGGGAAAAACTTAATTTGGTAAGTAATAAATAAACTGTATTTTTCCTCTTGATGCAATAGAGTCAGCACCGTTCTCTATTGATCCTATAAAGGCTTCTATACATGCTAGAACTTCTTGAAGAACTAGAGAGGTGGCTCCTAGGATATTAAAAACCAATGGCACTCCACACAGTTGTAAATATTGTGTACATTTACCAAATTAACATACTTGACAGACACACACATTCAAAATAATTGTGCTGTGTGCAAGATGGTTATACAATGTATTAGAAGTTCTGATTTACAGTTCACTTCAGAAATTGGGATCTGGTAAGAGGACCCAAGGTTAAAGTTACATGAAGAACAGCTTCCTCTTTCAGTTTTGCTAGTACATGACTGCTTGCATCTTCTCACTTGGAGGTAATGTTAGAAGTCTACATCGGGGGTCCTTTGTGAGATTGAGACTTTCTGTTCTTTCAACAAAGGCCCTGCATCATATGCCTGTGGGGCTTATGGGATAAAAAAGAAAAGGGTTGCCAACAAGGGGTTTTAACTGATTATTGAACACAGCTGGTGAAGGCTGACAATCCAGAATGAGATGAAGCGCCAGGCTCTATGGACTTCTTGTGTCTCATCAGCACCTCCCCTAGCATGGCCCTGCCAATTATCCTGCCTCTAAACCAGTGGTTCTCAACCTTCTGGCCCTTTAAATACAGTTCCTCATGTTGTGACCCAACCATAAAATTATTTTCGTTGCTACTTCATAACTGTAATGTTGCTACTGTTATGAATCATAATGTAAATATCTGATATGCAGGATGGTCTTAGGCGACCCCTGTGAAAGGGTCATTCGACCACCAAAGGGATCGTGACCCACAGGTTGAGAACCACTGCAAACCCAAATTTCTAGGGCTGTGACGTTTCTTTAGTCAGTTCTACTTGACCCCACTCCCATGTTGGGTGGACAGAGTGCACATTGAAGTGACCCACTGGGAGTTCCCCTGAGGATTCTGCGGCCATGACATGTAGAGAGAGAGTTCAGGACACTTGGTCACATGAAGTTAGGTAATCTTCTATCCTTTGTGTCTTCCCTCTCAAACACAGCTGGCTCCATGACTCTGGTTAGTACAAGCTCTGACTTGCAAACCCCTCCCTAACCCTCAATGGGGAAATCAGTGGTAGTTTTAACAGCTTGTATAGTCAATGGCTCTCTACTTGCCCTCTAGAAGAAAAGGAAGAGCTTCCCAGTCAGGCAAGCATCAAACATTTACTGAGCGCTCACTATGCTGTGTACCAGAGATACAGATATCAAAAAGGACCCAGTCCCTGCCCATAGGAAGTTCATGTTGGGGGAGAAAAATGAGTACACAGACAATCACAAGGTAACTAGTAGTTGCTAGTGGAGATAAACCCTGAAAGCAGAGAGGAAGGCTATCTATCCCGGGGTGCAACTCTAGAGCAGAGTCTTGAACAATAAGTAGATGCCAGCCAGGGGACAATTGTAAAGAAGTCTATTTCAGGAAGAATGACAGCATGATGCCCCAGAGTTTTAAGAAAGTAGAGTGATTCAAAGACGAGGGGAGGGGTGCAAAAGGACAGTGGCAGGAGGTGAGATGAGAGCAGCAGGCAGAGGTTGGGTCATGGGGTCCCCATCTTCCATGTCAAGGTGCTTGGAATTTGTGCCTAATTAGGAGGAAGAGGGAAGACCATGGTCTTTAAGCTGTAGCCACCTATAACCTCACCTAACGGCATCTCCTTTCAGCCTCAGGTCATTTTCTATGTATTTATGTCTCATTAAGTCTCCTGCACTATAGCATAATACAGCCCCAATATAGAAAAATTCTGCCTCTTGTCAAACCTGAGGTCAGGCAGCAGAGATGGGGAGAGATGGATGGTGTTATCTGTGCCTCAGTCTAGACCAGCCCTCATTACCCGTTTCAGGCCGTTAGCATAGTCATTGGGATTTGTCTTGCGTTGTTGCCATACATGGCAAATAGGAGAGTGCTAAAGAATACATTTCAGATGGTAAGTAACCCATAAAAAGAACAATGTGAGAATTTAATGGTGAGGTTTCTAGGGACATTTCCCACTTTGATGGAATGCAACTGACATTTTTTTAGGTGGAGTGGGGGAATGGTTGCTTAGAGGTGAGAAGGAAATGGTTGCTATTTTTCTCACGTCTCAGTTATTAAGAAAAGCAACCAAGAATGTGGTATTTGTGCTTTACTGACAGCGCTTTTGTGCAGGCATGGATCAGGATAACTAAAGCATCCCATTATGTCTGGAGATATTTTTGACTCACTTTTTTTATTATTTAAAGAAATATTTATAGCATCTATTATCAGAAAATGTGGAATCGAGGATGAATATAGAAGCTAACTTCAGATAATTCAACATATAATACACTGTTATTCTTAACTGAAAATTGAATATAAATCAGGCCACTTTCTTCTATACCCCAATATTTTTCAGTGTTGATTCTCTTATGGTTAATATCTAGGATTTTCTGTCCCATCATTTTGAAATGCTTTTTCTGTCATTTAGAACCATGGTTTTCTTGTCCAGTCTAATGTCGTACTATGTTAATTGCTATGGCTGCTTCTGATTAGTAAACATGTACCCTGCTGACAAACTATCCTTGGTTCTCAGATCCTTAGTTCCCTTTTATTCTCTCTTTGTGTGGGTGTGTGCGCATGAATCTGTCAAGGAAGGGAGGCATATATATCTATTGTTGATCTATGTGGTTTTATGCTTACTGTACTATGAGAATGCAATACATGATTTATAACCTGGAGTTCACTTAAAGCACACTTGAAATTTATCTCGGGGTTTATCTTGGATGGAGAATCACAAACAAATAAATAATCTGAATAAGGCTTTGCCCCTTCGATTCAGCCCAGTGTCAGGTTTAGCTGTCAGATTTCAGAATCAGTGGTGTAATAAGTCTTCCCTTTGACAGCAGGAGAGGAGGGGGATTATTTGGTAATGAATCTGGCATTTCATAGTGTGTATGTGTGTGTATGTGTGTGTGTGTATGTGTTGTATGTGTCTGCATGTGCTTTCAACTGTGTGTGTGCACATACGTGAGACTGTTTTTGAGAACACAGTCATTCTGCAATCTAATAACACTGACAGTCACTCTGTGACACTATATTCAGTCACTGGGTTCCAGCTACTTCTCTTTTTAAGATGTCCTCCATAAAAATGTTCTTTCTGATTCTCTCAGGCATTGCAGTTTTCTAGGTCTTCATTAGTCCCTGCCCAGGCTATATTTGCCTCTTGTCTGGTCTCTGCTTCCTGCCTTCTCCTTTTCCCATTTATTTTCCTACTCTCTGCACTGTTCCACCTCCAGCTTAGCTTCATCATATCGCTGTCCTGCGAGAAGCCCGGAATAGCTTTCTGGGCTCTGCAGTAGCAGTTTTCCACCACGGAGACCCACTGGCCACTGTTAGAATAAGTATTGTCACTGCTTCCTTTAATCTCCTAAAGTGAAACCAGTAGAAACTATGACCTGCCTACATGTAATTTTGTAAAAGGCAATAGAATGCCTTGCATGTAATAAGGAGAAATAAGTTAGTTTAAAATAAAGACATGTATTCCCTTACAGAAATACTTGGGCATGACAATATGAGAAGGCATGAGGAAGTTATAAGATTCTCACACATGCTCTTAGAATCACAGTAAATGTAAGTAACTGAAACGGTGTGGTATTGGTAATAATAATTTTTCAAGATGGTGCACCACCCTAGGTAAAGCTCTGAAGAAAACATTTTCCCCTTAGTTTACATGGTAGCAGAAAACTTAGTATTTATGAACAATGGGCATAGATTATCTTGCATTCGTATGTAAAATAGAGTTAGGTTCCAGGCTTGGATAATTGTCATCAGACTTGGCCCTCATGCATTTCCGGTAAGATATGTGAAAGTTAGGCAAGGCATGAGATAGTTTTTCATTGCTCGACTGTTCTGTGCATTGCAGGGCAGCTAACATGTCTGGTCCCCATCCACTAAACGCCAGTAGCAACTCCCAAACACTGTGAAAACTAAAACATCTGCCCAATTTTCCTAAATACTCCCTAGGGGTATAGTACCAGTCCCATGGAATGACTGATACCCAAGATAAAATCTATTCCCATCTGCCTGGCATCCAAAGGCCTCCATGTCTGATCCTCGGATATTTTCATCTCAACCTATTGTGGCTTCCATGATTGAGAACCCTGAACCAATACACTGAGCAGAGGAGTTTCGTCAGTTTTCCTACTAGTTAGGAAACTAGTTCGGAATTAGGTAATGGATAGCTTTTACTAATCAAATTAGAAAATTACTGTGGTTTTAGTGTTAACACCTAGTGTTGGTGCAAATGTCATGGGATGCATTATAACTGCTAAAGAGCATAAATATGTAGACATTTTCTGAAGAGTAACTTTATAAAACATATCACATGCCTTAATTTGGCATATATTTTCTTCCAAGTATTCCATTTATAGAAATGTATCCTTTGAAATAGTTACAGAATTATGGGGGCAGAAAAGCTACTCAGAAGAGCCTAGCCATTATTTAAAATGGCAAAACACTAAATATTTAACCATGGGAAATGGTTAAATTTTACTGCGTAACTTTATTCAAATTTCTAGTGTGTAGACAATTAAAATTCTGTCCCAAAATAGCATATTCATGATTTACTATTGATTAAAAATAAGTTATAAAACAGCCACTATCATTTAATAACAATTTTGAAAAAGCATATTTATGTATAGATACTTACATACATATAAAATATTGTATATATGGTTAGAAAAGAGGCAGTCAGAAGGCACCAGAATATGTTAGATATAGAGTTACAGGTGATTTTTTTTCTTTCATTTGTAGTTCTCTTTATTTTCTACAATTAGTGTATATTGCTTTTGTGAAAATAATAACAACAATGATAAACCACAGTGTAGCATAATTGACATGTAGAAGCCAGGGGTTTCCTTGAGTGCTTATCTAGACAAAGGCTATTCAGGATTTGACCACATATTCTTAGCAGTTAAAAGAATT